TTGTAGGACTTGTAGTGGTCATATATGCAAACATTGATAAATGGAAGCATCAATAGTAAAAAAAAACTGGAACACACAGACTTTTAGTTCCAAGGTTCGCAGTTATTTGAACACACAAACAAAACTCAATGGAGGGCTGTGATTTAGACTTTTTAGCATTTACCCAATGGAAAATTTGAACTGCATTAGCAACGTTTCAACCAGTAGAAGGTAGCTCTAAGAGTTATTCTGCCCACATTTTGCACACTTTAAGCAGCAACAATGTAAAAATGTACACAGCAGCATAAGGTTAGCACCCTTAAGACTCAATGGTCCCCCTCCTAATAGGGGACTGGGGCATCTATGTGGACCCTAGAAAACATTTTGAGGATTGATGCTTGTTTGATTAAAGAACTGTTTGATTAAAGAAACAAAAGGACAATTAGTTCATTAGACGTTTCTCAGCAACAGCATCCTTTCCATTGCCAGACATTTCATATTCATCTTGCATGAATCATCGACTGTATGACAATAATTTCCTGCAATACTGGAAGGTATTTTTACGACTTCTACACAACAATACACGTCTGTTCGTTACACTGGACCTTTTAAGAAAATCAAATTTTTGATTACACCTGGATAAAGTGGATATTATACAAATGTGACTGTTTATGTAAAGATAACTAGAAATTATTTTAACTGTAGGATTGAAAAAGGCTCAATTTGAATTGGTTTTGATATACATTTTGCACTAGATGAAAAATTTTAAAAAACATTTAGAAAAATATTTGCATTTTATTCAAATTTTTGCTGACATTTTTTTGTTTTTTTTGTATATAATTTCAGCATATTTTGAAAGAGTATTTGTTTTTGTTTTTTGTTTTTACTTAATATAGTTCTATATGATTTTGTCTTGTAAATAATTGAAACAAAATCCCTTTATTTGCATACTTGTTTATAATAAAATTTACTGGAAAGCTCACACATTTTTTAATTGAGGGAATAAAACAGTTGCCACTGTTCAGCCTTTCATAATGACAGGTTTTGCTTGAAAATAAATAGAAATTGTGGTATTTTTATTTGGAGTTAATTTTAGAATGGTGTATTAATAGCATAATAATGCAAGTATGCTCTCTAAAAGACAATTATACTTTAGCTTTTAAAGAACACTTAGCAGTGGAACTGGAAGACATTTCAATTATCAAAAAAAAACAAAACAATTAACTCGACTACTTTAACAAAAATGCACTTGAATAATAACCAAAGAAACCCAAAAGCAATCAAATGGATTATAAAAACACACACAGTCAAAATAATAACTAAAATGGATTGTTTTTCCTTTGGCAAAATTTTGCACAAAAAAATTATAATCATGAGACTCAGAGAGGGAAAACGGGCAAAACTGGGTATTTAATAAAAGTGCAAACTTACAACTACAGAACAAATTAGACGTATCTGAGCCCAGGGAATGCGAATAAGGTGTCAAATGTTTGCTTTTTTCTAAAGGTTGCTTATCAATTAAATGAATGGGTAGCGTGTCTTTAGAGATTAAATGAAGTACTTTCTCTGTGAGTTAGCACCATTTTGCAATACTCTTTTTTGTCAATTACAGGACCAACATGAAGAATAAAAAGACACAAGGAAAACAAACAAGACTAAGTGGAAATTAGAACTCATTTAAATCCATCAAGCTTTTAATTGATTGATGGCTTATTGTGACAGGTCTAGCACACCTCACAGCAATCACTCAAACACATTTATGCTTGTACTGTTATTGATAGATTTTAAGACACTCATTAAAAGTACACAAAGATATCCTGGGAAAAGCATCCTGCTTTCTAACTGGAAATGTTACACCTTTCCTCCCCCATGCAAACACACACATACAGTACTTAAAAGCTGTGGTGGGACCTTATGTGCCACTAAAGGTGTGTGACTTCCTCATATGATAATAGATTTATGATAGACTTATACTAGCTTATCAATACTACAAAAATCATTGCAAAATAGGAAACATATCAGCAGATTTAGAAAAGACGGTTATAGAATTTTAGAGAACTTTTAAAAATCAAAAATAGCCAAGGATAAAATCTATTGCTACAATAAGCTCTGGCTCACTGCACTATTCAACCCTGCAAAAGCATTACCTGGCCTGAAGAATTTCAGTTCCTTCTGGGGAAGCAGGAAGAAGGATAATAATTTGTCTTCCTTCGGCATAAATCCACCCAACCAGCCAGCTTTTTGTCAGTCGCACAGACGTCAGTTGGAGGCTTAGGGTGATAAATATTTCCTCGGCACAGTCTGGACTTTTATTACCAGTCAGTTGGGAAGTGTGAATACTCTTGTGTTTCGCCATGTACTCAAGAGAATTTCCTATTAAACTAAGCATATTTCACAGAGCCTGCACTTCCTATTTCCATACTTTTATACACTCTTCCTTTTTAGTTGTAATACTTACGGTACACTTCACAAATCATTATCTTTTACCGCATTTCAGAACTCCTCATATCTGGGTTGTGTTTGGTGACATAACAGAAATATGAATGTAAACTGTAGGAAATGTTAAGTTCTGATATAGAACTTATAGCCTCCACCACCACCCAGAGGCTTTGGTCCTAAAGAACTTCACGGCAGAATGTGAAAACTAAATTTCATGCTCTAGTTATAATTTGTGTCATAGAGTAAGGGGATGGCTAAACTAGAACAATCTATTGCAATGCACTTATTTATCCTCCTTTTAACTTATTCAAGATCTAATTAAATCAAATAGTTTAGCCCTCCATCATTCTAATCAAGTTCGGTATAGGACAGCTTCCTCTGCCTAAATGTCTGCCATGATCCTGTCCCAATCTACGTGTAAGGAAACTGATTCTTCCTACAGTCAGGAAGTGACATCAGCCCACTGTGCAGTGATCTGGTGGAGGCAGGATGGAGGTTAAGAATGCCAGTAGCATCAACAAACTCAAATATTTATAGAGCTGGGAAATCTACTGGACACATGAGGACGAGCGAGTCAGTATGAGATAGCAGTTTGATATCAAATATCAACAATTCATCCCATCCCACAGCACATTACAGCAGGGGTGTTCAAATGCATTTTATAGACAAATACTGTTGGATGTTAATCTCACAAACAGTTTATTCTGTGAATCTAACACTATTCTGTTTTCAAAACAGTCTGATTTAACTCTAAAACATTTTAAAAGTTTTGTATATACACTATAGATTATCTGCATTGTCTTCATTTCACTGTAAATATTTATTTTTGATTTGAACTATGTAGATGAGCAGGCTTGTGGATTATTTTTATGTCCCTGGCTGTAGCAACTCCCTCTGCCACTACTGTTTTAGGCAATGCTTTGTTCCAGTGGGTCAGGATGATTCCTGCCCTTTAAGAAGTTACTCTAAGCAATCATTTCCCTGAAAAAGTTTCCACATACCAAGGTCTGTTCTGTCTGCAGCAGTGCCACCACCTCTTTGTTTTTAAGTTTACCAGCAGCACACACCTTGAAGATATGCCCTTGGTGACCAGTTATTTCAAGCTGCCAATAGACTGCGAGGCAGAGAGGATTCAGCTAGTACACAGTAGTGATTCTAGAGTTTAGAAATTGAGCCTAGTCTCATTTTAGTGTTACAGAAGTAGCAGTCTGTCATGATCTGTAGGTGTGTGGTATAATAGATGCTTCTTAAATAGGATGAAGATTCCTGCGAGGTGTTATATCTGTGCAGATTGAGGACACATTGATTATAATAAACCTAAAGCTTCAAACAGAAAAATAACCTACCTACCATGCTCTGTGGGCTTCAGCATCTCAGCCTCTATAAATATAGATCAGATGTGGGCATTAGGGACACTTTATCCATACAACTTTAGTGTATTATTGACAAGTGATAGCCTGGATGCAGGACAATTGAGATAAATTATCATTCCCCATGTTGTTTAAACCGTCCTTTGCACAGTACAAATAATTTTATATAAATGGCAACTTACTCATATTGACTAAAATATGGTTAAAACTAACTTTTTGAGTTTTTTTTTGTTATGTTTTCAAGGTTGTGATCTGGATAATGGCTTTTATTTATGATTACATAGTCATTACTTAATATTCGCTAATAGCTTGGCCAGTTTTAACAACGCACAAAAAAAAATTCTTAGTATTCATCATTATATAACTGAATTTATTCTCAAACAGACTGAGAAATTCACTATAACAAAAGCTTCAGTCATAAAGAAGAATGTCCACATAGAAACCATAAACAGCTGGAAACTGAAAGAATCTGCTATGGATGCATTGGGACACTGCTGGTGCAGAGGCCTCCCACAGTCTCTAAATCTAATGTAGTTGGGATTACATGTAAATATTGTTTTTATCAGCTTTTTTTCCAACATTACCAGGTGTTTGGCTGCTGCTCTCGGAGAACAAGGGAGGCTCAATGGTGTTAATTAAATCCAAACATCACATGTTGCACTAACAAATATTGAAAGGCATAAATCACATCGCTACAACAGGTGAAAATAGCTGTTGTGAAGCGCTTTGAAATAATAACCTCCAGAAACCACGGCAGGAGTTCTGCAGAAGACGACTGTTCTGACTGAATGATCACTTTTCCTGTTCGACTCATGGGGAAAACCATGAGGAAAGTGTGGCCACTGTCAGTCGAAAATCCTTAATTATGTTTTCCAATCAGCATTGAGGCTCAAGCCTCAACAGGAATTTCTCATAGAGCCTGACAGAGCGGAGGGGACAGCTGATTAATGCCTAATATACTTATGAAATTAGGCACCTTTTAGCGCATAATTAATGCAATTTAATGAGTACATTTATGAAGATTGACAATATATATATTTTAACAATAATTTTACAAAATTTACAAGGGAGGTTTAGCCTACCTAGCATTCAATAAGAAATCGCCACTGTTTGGATTTCCCCCTGTGGGCCGTCTCCTTTAAAGTCATCTAGCTTTGGGACAAATGTGCAAAAAACGTCAACACATTTTAATTCCAGTTTTCCTTTTTCCAGATGCTCCAGAGGGAGAAGGAAAAGGCTCTGATCGAACGGCACCTGTCGGCAAAGAACTGGATCTGTTTGGACCAATGGTTTCCAATCCTCTGCCCCCCAGTAACACAAAGCATGATCAGGTAGTTAAAAAAAAAACACACAAGCTGACTTTCAGCAGCTGCTTATCACCTCAGACAGGCTGCAACTGAGGGAGTCTTCAGAGACAAACACACACACAACCCAACCCACACACAAGCATATTCACAAACCAGCCGTGTCTCTGGCACGTGGCGACTCCCCAAGGATCCGCATCAAAGAGAACTGTCATAAAATCTTTTTTTTATTGATTTGACCGGCGTCCTTCAAGGAAAAGTGTCGATTTCTCTAACAGTGTAGAGCTGCGGGAGACACACATAAAATAAAAAGAACATTTTATATTTATAGAACAGATCACAGAATTGATCAAGATCGTCACGAGGTCACCAAGGAAACAAAGCTTCTTTTAACATTAAGTATTATTTACATTAGTTGCATATTATGGATGGATGGATGGATGGATGGATGGATGGATGGATGGATGGATGGACGGACGGACGGACCGACGGACGGACCCACTTATAGAAGGTTAATGTTTTTTGGGGGTATTTTAAAAGCCATACCTGCCAATGGCTTTCCCAGTCAAACGGCAGCTGGTGAAGGTGCTTCTCTTTAGGTCTTAATGTCCACAAATCATGACAGAAAGAATATTTTAGTACAAAGACTGATGTTTAAAAAAGGAATCTTAGGGGACCAGCCAAGGACCCATCAGGGAAAGTGGGGAGATTTTGAATGGCTGCTACTGTACCCTGAATAAGCTTTATTTGGATTCCATGTCTGTAATCTTCATCTGGTCAAGAGAAAAACTCTGCCAAGGATTTCTGTATACAAGTTTGTATTGAAACACAAATAAAACATTTTATGTGTATATAACAATTGGGGCACACTTGGAATTTCAAAAAAAAAATAAAGCATTTAAATAAGCAATGTGCTTTACCCATGGAAGGAGCTCAGGAGTGAAACGGTGATATTTTTTAAGCATTTATTATTGTTCACTAGCCATACAAACTGCTTTATCTTCCATGGTCAATTGTCTGTAGAGGAAGCCACTATGCAACCAGTATGACAGAAAAATAGCATTGGAGCTTGAAGAGCTGGATTCAAGCCTTACAATTTAGTGCCAATGTAAACATTTAAAGTTAGATCTTTAAGGAGTTGGAAGGTTTTCTAGCCACAGAGTAAAGTTCAGTGTTCTGATTTTCTATTAGAAATCGAAAGACAAGGACCTATTTGTTCCTATATTGCAGGAGGTTTTTACTAGCCTTTGTCATAGAAAGAAACCCCATTCAGCATTGTTTCACAATGTGTATTGATGTAGGCACACAGGAGTCATGGAAAAAAAAGAGCGGACAGCTTCACTCGCACTGCAGCCATTGCAGCAAACATTTTCGGTAGCCCCCTTTCTGAGGAGGAGTTAAAGTTCACTGTACCTTCTTCCCGCTGCTGAGCTTCTTACCTTGAAGTTCTTGACATTCTGGGGAACTGTTTCATTACAGCTTAATTTCTCTGCATGATTGATGAGACTCTAATTTTTTGGAGTTAATAATGGCTAACACAAGAAGATGGTTATTGTGACTTTACTTAGTCGAATTTTCTTTCCCCTTTATGAAATATAAAACATTTTTAAACAAACAGAAATTAGTCTGGCTTTTGATCTTTTTTTTTTTATTAAAAACTGATTAATTCCTCCTTTTTCTTCTGGCTGAGCCCTTTCTAGTTGCATGTACTTCACTGACATTTCCTGCAACATTTAAAGCAAAGACCTCCAAGCTGCCTCTCAGTGTGGGGGACCAGTAATTGCCTCTGCCTCGGTGTGAAGGTTAGCTTTCCCTGTTTGTTGGTATGTAACCCGTGACTTTTACAAACTAATAGGTTCTGCTTAGATGGAAGAAGAGACATGTTGGATGTAATTGAACTGGTGACTTATTGTCAGTCACTGCCCTTTTAATTTCTTTGTTGCCTCTCTTTTTTTTTTCTTTTTTTCCCCTTTCAAATCATATTCCTGCTCTACAGCAAGATACAGATTAAACACATAAACCTGCACACAGGGAGCCTGAGTGTTGGATTCAGCAGGTGGATAACTCTGCAGCATTTTCACACAACCAGCTAATCACAACAATGCAGTTTGATTAGCTGGGGATTTAAAGAAAGGGGAGCTTTCAACCCTTTGATTCCAGCAGCTATTAACAGACACGCCCTGCCGTCTGTCACTTCTGAAAAAATGTGATCACAGCTATTTAGACCCAGATGGATTAATGTTATTCCTTGCGTTCCTCCTGTTCTCTCCCTCCTGCCTCAAACTGAAACCTATTTTTATTGTGGCGAGGAGGAACTGAAGTGATGAGACATTTAGAAATAAAAAAATGTATTTTAATTAACCTATTATTGGCAAATTAATGCCCACTGTAAGCTTCCTCCGATGATTTCCATCCTCTCATCTAGGCCATAATGTCTTTAAAATTTAGGTTTTCATGACTAATTGAATGGCTTAATAATTTTACAGCGATTTAAACATACAAACTTATGGTGAAAATGTTTCCACGCAGGATTAAATTAAATACACAGGCTCAGCCATGCACCCTCCATTAGAATTGATTAAATGCACATTATGGAGCCCGCAGCAGGAAGCTAAAGAAATGGTCATACGCACAAACAAAGGAAACTAGGCTAGATCCAGGGTGGATCTATGCTGTCGTTTATGTTGTAACACTATAATGACCTTCATAAAATATGTGTTACCACACCCGGGGGGGGCTTTAGTTAA